ACAGGAGCGATCAGAAGTTGCAAAGTTAGGACAAGAGCCCTTGTTATTTAGCTGCTGAAGGGAATGTGAAGCTGTCAGCGCTGAGATTATGTGCAGGCCTTCCCCCCAAAAAAACAACCCTGAAGCTGTACTTCAGGATGTTCATCCCACCTTTATCCAGCCTGCATTGAGACAAAGCTAGACCTTGTGGAGTCTCACCTAGATTTCAATGGTAGGAGTCTTGGAATATTGCGGGTGAAGGATTTCACGGGCAAACCCCATGCTAGGCTAGATGGAGGCACTGCTTGGGAGTACCTACATGGGCTAGTAACACCATGTTTCTCTAGCAGTCGGGTAACGAGATGGCTTTGCTGACCAGACATCGTCCTTTCAAAAGTGCAGTCTTCAGCTGCAGATTTTGCCCAAAGTACAGCTGAGCCCCCAGGACGAACTGTATTTCAAAACACAGTCAGTACTACAACAGAATACAGGCGTCATCTATTTTAAGACTATACACAAGTTACAAATAGCTTAAGAAGCTTTTGGCATCTGCAAAATTTATAATCCGTGTACCACTTTCCAAAAAATGAGCAGAAACAAAGCATCCAGCTACACTTCAACGTAAGTCTGCCAGAGCCTTAGCTGCACCCTGCGGCTTTTTTCATTTCAGAGGATATTTTGATGTTAGAATTCTCTCTTTGAATCTATTTTTTATTTTGTTAAAGGAAACTTAGATACAAATACTTGGATATTTTCAAGTATAGTTTTGTGTTTTCTTTCTGCTCCTATTGAAGTCTCCAAAATATTATAGCCATGAGTTAACAGCCTGTGTTGTGGGTAAGGAAGAAAATAAAGAAAAAGACCATAAAAGAAAGCAGAAATTTACAGGCCCAGTTAAGCAAAGAGGTACTTAAAACTGGCAGGTGCTTATTTTTATGCTTTTATCATCACTCTCATTTTAGTTATGTTATTTTATGATACCCAGTTAGGGACAATATCTCATTGTTCTAAGCATAGTTCTAATTTATACTGGTGGCATTCATTTCAGAAAGGTGTAAGTCTTTTTCCTGAGCACCTCTGCGGCTGAAATAAAATGTAACTTGTCTTTTCATATAATCCAGAATTGAGAGAGTTTACTGGAGAGAGAGCTTTATCTTCTGCAACTCACCCAGGCAAAGCTTGCCCTGAAACAAGTGCAATCACAGATGCAGTTCCAGATCCACGTGAGGTTTCTACACAAGGGTGCTGTGGATTTTAGCCTTGATTCTACAACTCTTACTTACCTCGGCAGCCCGCAGAAGCACCATTGCAGCCGGTGCTCAGGCTGGCTTGAGAAGATCCCTGTGGGCTTTGCGCACCCTCCTTTGCTTTAGGGATTTTCTTTTAATTTTTTTTTTTTTACATTGTAGTGAATTGCAATACAGTGCAATTTCCCGTCCTTTCACAGTGGCTTATGGGAAAATGTTATCTGTCCTTTCCCAACATATGCCAGTCTCAGAAATAAGTCACTAAGGGACTAGCAGAACTTGACTGGCACTAGCCCCTGCACTTCAGAGCAGGCAGATTAGCCACTGACATCTGCGGCAGACAAGCTGCACTAGCAGGAGTTTATCATATAAGCCCTATAACTAACCAGCAACTTGCTCGATCACTCTCAAAACTTTAGCTGTTGTTGTTGTTGTACTTTTCATAGGAAAAGGGAACAAGAAGAGCATGCGTCAAGTGGCTGCAGTGTTACAAAACATTTCTGTTTTTCTGAAAGTATCACACTTTTGACATCCTGTAATCTCAGTGATGCAAACCCTTCTCTGATTAGGGAAGAACATTAACAAACAGCCTAGCTAGGTTGTCAGAAATGCCCTTTATAACATAAAAATTGGTGAAAGAGTACCAAAAGCATGCACAGATGTTTCCAGCTGGGTAACACATGCTGAAAATACCCAGGAAATTTAGATGTCTCACCTGTGAAAAGACACTTCTTTTTGCTAAGGTGCCTTGTGGATCCTAGTAAATACACTAAGGCCTATGAAATTGTCAGATACAATCTACCCCTCTTACAAAAATAATTTGTGACTGAAGCCACCAAGGTTTCCAAATGCACAAGTTTGTTTTGCAGCAAGGTTGTCACTATAGCTTTTGGTTTCCATATTTCTATCATGAAGAGGGAAGCACGTGGCTGAAAATGATGGCCCAGGTGAAGGTACTAAACTTGCTTCCCAGGCAGGCAAAAGGGAGGCCACTGGGAGTGCTTCAGGGGAGCACAATCGCGGCGTTGGTGGGGATGGACCGAGATAACTGCCCTTCCCTGACAGTCCAATTCGTCAGCATCCAAAATATCTTCTTCCTCTTTCTCTGCAATTTAAAAAAAAATAAATTAAAATAGTCAAATGCGTGCCAAGCTGCCTTTGTATCACTCTAAAGTCTTAATTAAAATGTAATGTGGCATAAAGTCACATTTCCTGAACTTTAATTTGCCTTCGAAATCATTAATTGGGTGCACACCAGTGGGTGGCTATCTTGCTCTCAAGGGTAAGCAACAAGTTGTTAGCCAAACGTGTCAAAAATAGTTGATGGGAATCTGAGTGGCAAATACTACAACCTATGCAAAAAGACTGGAAGGGAAAAGATGAAAGGATATAGCCTTATAGATACTAGCCATTAGAAATACCACATAAAAATGCAGCAAAGATACAAACCAGATCCAAGTCCTTTCCTCTTTTCCCTTCCAGTCTTTCTATCTAGGTTTATGTTTTCGCAAGGCATGAGTGAGCTGGACCAAGTCTACAGAATGGGGCAAAATAGCCAAATACGCAGGGCAGAATAAACCAGGAGAGCATGTTTGCAGCCCATGTGGTATCAGGAAGACTGAGAGTGGCAAACCTGGGAAGGAGATGGGGAAGAAATGGAAAGGAGGATAGCACATCCTTTATACACTAAAGCAATAAAAATACTGTTAAAAAGTGTGACTTTGCCTACTGTTGACTGAAGTTAAAGAAAAGCTGGGGCTGGACAATAGTAACAGCCTTAGGACCCGAGTCTATGCTTGTGAAAACACAGACAGTCTTTGCCCATGCTGGCCCGATGGCTGATTATCCATTTTCCTATCACCAGACTAGACAAAGCCAAGGTGCCTGTGAGCACAGAGGAGATGCCTGGGTAGCCTCAATTTCTGGACTTTCATAACTGAAAGTATCTATATCAATTAGACACTATTACTAATGCTTGGAACTTCTGTCATTTTTTAATGGGGAAATCTTAAAAGCATTTGCAAGTCTCACCTCTGACACTTCTGTCTGGTAAGTGTTATCATGTATAGCTATGACATCATATTAAGGAATATCTCCTAGCAATATTGAATTACTCAGTCAGCAGTTTCATAAATCAGAGCTCCTCTTTATCTTCTCGTAGCTGCAATGTTGTAACTTGGCTTTGCTTCCCCCCCCCACTGTTTTATGAAGAGCATAAACATACATTGCCAATAATAAGCAAGCAGTTCAGATTTTTAGTTAACTAAATCATTCAAGTGTTTTAAATCTATTAACAAGCTGGTCATTAAATGAGTCACTGACCTATTTCTCAGCTACTCAAGCTAAGAAACTATAACTGATGACCTATAAAAGCATCAGTGTGTTAAGAAAAATTATTAGCTGGAGAAGCAGAGCAACAATCGGTCACTTCAGCAGCTCCCACCAATCTAACAGAAAGATTCACCAATGCCAGCTTCAACTAATTCACCAGAAACCAGATTTTGACACAGAGTAATATCTAGGGGAAGTACCATGAAGCTGCTACACAGGCAGCATACGTCTCTTCTTCCTTAGCTTATTACTGGAAAATTCTACGCAAGTATTTAAAATGGCTCAAATCTGGATGCTCCAGAGTAAAATCTGGAGTGCAGACTCTTCTGGACTCAGAGGGATCAATTTTAGACCTAGCACTTATTTGTACAGTGGAACAAGCCAAATCTAAGGTCCAACCACCCTCCCTGCTTGGGAACAGGTGTGGTTTAGACCCAGGTCCAAATTCTGAGCCCTGGCTAGGCCCGCCCCATATAGCAAGAAGACTGAAGATGTTGGGTTTAGTGTTGAGTTCCTCCGTTGCTCTTATCCAGTGACAGGCGATACGTGAAAGCCCCTGCTCAGCCCTTGCATGTTCCTGAGTGAGTGGGCAGAGGAAGGGGCAGTGTGGGGGGGACACAGCCGTGCCCTGCCGTCTGCATGCCCAGCCAGAGACCGCCGGGGGGGAGTGAAAATCAAGAGGAGGAAGGAAGGGAGGCAGGAGTTACCTGCCCCCTCGTTGCCTCCATCAACCGTGGCACCATGGACGCCCATGCCAAGGCACTGCATCCTGGTGGGGCTCTAGACCTTCTGTCCCCTGTCATCTACAGCCATCGTCACACCTGTGCCTAAGTGCTTTCCAGCTAAGCCGCCTGCTCCTAACGAAAAATGATGTGGTTTTCTGCTTTTTCCTCTTCCCTGGCTCAAACCAGCCCAAAACACTCACTTATAGGCTGCCAAGTGAACCAGCCATTTTTCCCATTTGCTGGAGACAGCCCTGCTTTGGGGTTGCCTGTTGGGGTCATAAGTGCACGTAGTGTCCCAGGGTGCTGGGGGGAGAATTACAGCTTGAAACCCAAGACGAGGGGGAGGCACTATTGAAATCTGCTTGCTCAAGCACCCTGAAAAGCAACCTAAAACCTTCCTGTTAACACACATAAATGAAATTTTGTGTCTGATTTGTATTTGTATGATGTTTGTCCCCATGACACTGCATGTAGATGAAGATAGATGGTAGTAAAGTCTGGAGTCGAAAAAGTAGAGGAGAGTCGGAGCTCGCTCACCTACAGCATAAAGGTGCCTCAGCCAAGTTAGTGCTTGAAAAGCAACTTTTTTTTTTTTTCTTCCTCCTTTTGCAATCATTGCTTGCTTGACAGGCCCAGACGGAATTACATCACTTCCTAAAACCCATCAAAGAGAGTCCATCTCCTGAAGAAATGCAGCTCAGATGCACCCCGGCAGGAAACAGGAAATGTAAATGTTCGGGTGAAGCGGGGAGCCTGCCAAAGAAGCACCCCTCGGGTGGCAGCGCCGCCAAGGTAACATGCGAAAGCAAAACCTCATCGCCCTGCTTTCTGCCCTGTCCCTGGCCGGAGGATCTGCCGGGAACCGTGAGTAATAAAGCGCCTTTTGCCTTCCGAGGTGGTACCGCGTTTTGTGCCTGCAGCCATGGGACCAAGTTGGAGGGCAACACCCTCCAAACTGAGCACTAGGAGAAGATCTGTGGGGACTTGCTCTCCACTTCTTTTAGCTGTGTTTACCCTCTCTGTTTTCAGCTGCCTGACTTTTTCAAAGCTTTGACTTTTTTTCCTTAGACCTAACCCCAAACAGCAGCCACTGAATCCTACAATTCCTATGTTTCCTAAATTGCAGGTGTGTAGGGAACTGGAGCTTCCATGCTGGCCCGCCAGGCATTTTGGTTCCAATTTTAGTTATTTGTTGTACTTTTTTACGCCCATACTATCAGCATTTAATAGTAAAGTTAAAGACGGAGCACCGCTTCCATTCAAAAGCTGACTGCCGATTTCCGTAGACCCAGTGCACTGAAACCGGTTTAACAAAAGAACAACCAGCTCTGGAGACAAATATTTTGAATTCTCAGCTGCAGAACAAAGTGGTCAGCACCACGGATTTAGGTCCTGACCTTCTGAAAGGAAGAACTGCGAGTGGAAAAGCCGCTTACGACAACATGCTGAAGCGTTGGGGTGTCGTTGCAGAGGCTCTCACCTGTTGACAGGGGGTAATTTGTTTTTGGCAGCCAGTCACTGCACGAGACAGGCAGCTCTTTGAGTAAAACCTTGCCAGGTGGTGCTTATATGCCTTTTGGTGTCAAACAAATCACTGCCGAAGTGCCTTGGTATGGACTAGAAGTGTTTGCTGCCTCTGTGCTGCTGTAGCAAGCGGGAACTCTCCAGAAAGCAGGGAGAGAGGGCGGTTGCTCTCAGCTATCACTGGACGACTTCTATTAAGGTTTTAAAATGCATTGGTGCAATAGGTCATTTGGTATGGGTATTTTTTTCCCTAAAAACCAGTACTATAAGTAGGGTGTAAAACTGGGCTGCTGGCTCTTGGTGTGCTCTCAAGCTGCTTGTGGTTAGGAGTCTTGCTTAGCTGTAAGAGTGAGCTGAGCAAGGTATAAAATAGTTTGGTTGTGTCTGCGTTACTACAGCCCTGCTGCATTACAGACACGTTAGGAGAATATGCTGCAAGCATTGAACGTAGCTCAGAATCAAAGCGGTCAGAGGAAAAAGTCCCACCATGGACGGAGCAAAACGGAGGTCGAAGGGAAACGGAGGGGCACAACACAAGCAGCCCAGAGTGATCAGGCTCCAGCTTCCTTAGCTCATTTGCAGTGTACTGATTGCTAGTATTTCATCACCACCTCCACAGGGTGGAGGGATGCCTTAGTCCCCGGTCTCCCCAGCCCATGGCTGGCCCCCCCTGCCCTTCTTTGTGATGAGCATTAGAGGCTACACAAAGCACCAGGCAGATGCCAAATACCAGCTGCCCCAACCCGCTCCCCACTGCCTTTAGAGGCTTCCTACAAGTAGGTCCACCTTTAAATTCTGGTTGATTTTGGAACGGTTCCTCCATGAGAGTGAGTCAGTCCTGCCAGAGCTCTCCCCAACCACTTTCAGCCCCGGCTCTCCTGAGCCAGTCCCCAGCTGCTGGGGAAAGGGAGGAGAGCACCCACCCAGAGAGGAGCAGGGCCCCTTGCTCCCCATACAAAGGCAGCTTTTGCTTGTGCAACCAGCCCCAAGATGTACCTGGGGCTTACTCTGACTGCAAGGGTGGGAGGGGGTAAGTTGTGAACTTGGGCCCTGGGGGGGGAAATTGAACTGGAGGGGGAAGAGTTTATGTAGGGGCTTATGTACCCCACAGGTACTGGTGGGTTGGGAGCCCCTCCGCCGAGGGTGGCCTCCTGGGGGGATCCTTTGCTCTCACCCCTCCTTGCTCACAGATCAACAGGGCAGGACCTTTAAAGGAGCTTTCACCTTTTTCCTCCAGTCCCAGACACAATCCTCAGCTTTAAAGTGGTCTGCTGGAGAAGGGGGGCAGAAGCTCTTGGGGATCTCCCAGGTTTCACCTCTACTGTCTAGAAACCATTTACAAAATAGGCAATAAGAGTATGATTAAATCTTGCAGCATAGACAGATTGAAGCCTTTATAAGTCCTGTTCCCATACCATGGTGGAGCCTTGCAAAACCCCAGCCTTGCCATTTGGATTATGATTAACAGATGGTTTTCTCCCAGCTATGCTACAATTACTCCAAGCCAGTGGCTCTAGGAGCATGCCTGAGGTCTCAGCTCTGGGTGCTGGCCCTCTCCCAGCTCCACACTGAGGGGACATTGGGTTTTGCACCAGTCCCCTTCCCCTTGCCCATGCCTTTGCTTTATGCAGGCAGAAAGCCCTGCCAGTGACCTGCTGAGGGCCAGCAGTGGCCCTCCCTGATCTGGGTGATGGTGCTCGCTGCTCAGCCTCGCAGCAGCCCTAAAGACCTACCTAGGTTTGTGCTGACCCTAGGAACAAGTATTAAGGCCTTTACTATAGCTTATAGGAAAAGGCTCTGACTCTCTGGGCATTTCCCAAGGTACACCATCTCCCTCTGTGTTTGGTGAAACACATGGGAAATTGCAGCATAAGTGGCCTGACATGGGGAGCAAGAAAATGCGTAAGGGAGAGGAGCAGTAAAGCGTGTAAGATCGTTAAGTGGAAGAGCTGGGATGGTTGCAGGCAATGCTTTATTTTGGCTGTGTCTCTGTGCTATTGTTTTGAACTGTTGTTCACAGAAACATTGCTATCAAATATCCAGATATTCAGCAGGTTGTACCATGAGCACAGGCAGCAGCTCTCTCTTTGGCAGAGAAGTGGCTTTGAGGTAAAGTCCCCTACAAAGCCAAGGTCTCTAAGGGAGTGATATTTTTGATGTGTTCTCCCTTAGAGTAATGATCTCGAGAATGGGTTTGAACCCATCAGAGTTGCCTGTTACAATTTTCTAGCAAAACAACAATATAAGAAATGAGGATTTGCTACATCCTTTCTGTCCAAAGTGCAGCCCCCTAAAAAGCAGATGAAAAACCCCTTCTACTGAACACATCAATTCCTTGTACATATTTACTCCTATTCCTTTTATCCATGCACACAAACTTCCGCTGTGTTTTAAAGTGCTTTAGGGAAGTTTCAGAAAAATCTCTCCTTTACATCAGCAAGATTGTATGCTAAATTTCAGTCAATGACCCCAGTCTGTTTTCTCTCAAGGGATATTATATAATAGCGGCAAAGCCTCCGGAGCTTCTGAATCTTTAATTTCACGGTCCTCCTGAGAGCAAGGAGCACCAAGAGATTTCCATCACAGTGAGGTTGCACGGGTATCACTGAGGCAGAGCTAGAAGGCCATGAGATTAAGTAGATGCAACTAAATGCATAAATTAGTCTGGAAAACCTTTAGTACTGGGGGTGAGAAATGAGACTATAGGTTCACAGTTTGGCTCTAAGACGTGTGACTGAATTTGCAACACCGGCAGTTAATGCAGCACTTCAGCTGGATGGAAGTACAGTGAGGAGAAAGCAGCTTCCATCGTCTATAAATGAACTTAAACAGTTCTTTCCTCTTTCAGGTTATACCTAGATAACACTTTCTAAGCATGCCGTTTTAATAGGATCTTGTCTACAGATTAGCCATCCTGAAATGTTTGTGCTCCCTCATCAGAAGAGCGTACGTGCCCAACAGCTAGCCTGCAGGCTTTTAAGGATTCCTCTTCCAGCCAGACTGACAGGCGGGACCTGCCGCAGCAGGCAGTCGGGCAAGCCCTGGCCATGGCAAGGAACGGCCCTTCTTAACGCAACGCGAAATGCAGGGAGAGGAACAGAACAGGGATTAGTCAAGCAATAGGAGAGAGGATCATACGGACCATGTGGAGTGGGATGACTACATGACCAGAAGGAATGTGTGCATGGAGCAGAGTGATACAGGATGTGGTAACTTTACGCCAGCGTACACAGCTTTACAGCCTTTTCTTGGTTTATCACCCTCTCGTGAGCCTTCCCTCCACTGCATTTTTATAGCTTATAGGAAAGTATGGAGATACAAAATATTTCCTTTCAAACTAATAAGCTTGACTATCCCATTGACTTAGCTCTTGCTGTTCCTGTATCCCATCCCTTTTTTTTCTGTAAGTAGGTACTATAGTGTAATTTGAAAAATTCCCTTCAGAGACCCCAGTCCTCGAGTCTGATGAGAAGGCAGCAGGGAGACTGATGATTTTACAGCAGAACCCAATGTGCTGACTGCCGGCTATTTTCCTTTGCCTGGCATCCAACTGAAATGAGAAACCTGTTTGCCCACTGACTTCATCAAGAAGCTTATATCGCCACCTCTGAGTGCTACAGCATAAACCTCAGAGGAAGAAATGCTGCAACAACAGAAATGTTGTTTGTTTGTTTGAGATGCAGTTGTTTGGACTCCAGTCTGTCAAGCTGCTTGGTACATTCAGCTCCTTCTGTCTCCCTTGAAAGGCAGGCTTGGGAGCACCTCCAAAACTCACACAAAGTCCATTGGTAATCCAAGCAAATTTTTCCATAGAAAATATTGAAGAATACCTTATACCACGGTATCTGCACACAGGGACATAGCATTTTTGTAATCTCTAAGAACAGCTATGGAACCTTTTTTGAGCCGTTGCTAGTGCCTGCTCAGGCATTTTGGTCCCCTGAGGACTAGATCCTCTAATACCTCAGTGGTGGGAACCTGAGGACTTCTTGGCTTCCAGCTCCAACCTCTTAGCTTCCAGTTCCAGCTGTGCCCAGCTCCCCATCTGGGTGGGATGCAGCTGCATGCCAGCCCCTCTCCCTTCTGCTCTTGAAAGCAGGGGAAGTGGCAGTATGGGCCGGGCTGAAGCTGTAGCGTGCTCCCATCCAGTTCCCTCAACATGGGGACAAGTCACCAGCGCTCATACTCCAGGCGGTCCAGACAAAGCTGAAGCCGATGCGGTTGTTTTGTGAGCACCTGCTCCTTGGCTGAGCTGTGCGGAGGGCCGAGTACGGATGTCAGACCATAGCCAACAGCATGAGTCTGAGCTCAGCAAAAGAAAGGGCACAGGCTTTGCAAAGTCAAGGAGGTATCTACATGGTCAGATGTGACTGCTCCTTGTTCCACTCCATTGGCCTTGGTTTTCTATCCTGAATGTATGTGTTGTGTTTTGTTATGTTATGTTACGGTCAGACTTCCTTTTGGAGGGAGCTGGTAAATCTCTGCAAGATGAAAACCCAAGCACAGCTGACAAGACAGTTCATGGTATGAATGACCACTGCAAATCTGGCTCCCTCCAGGCATGGAGAAAATGTTTGAATAGCATCTCACAAAAGCTGCACATTTCAGGTGCTCTCCTGCCCTGCTCCAAACCTTGCAACATCCAGCTTTCATTCACCCTACAAAACAGTCACTAGGGCCAGCTGCAACACAGCCCACTCACTATTTTGAGCACTTTAAACTGAAACCCTGTGAAAAACATGACTACCTTGGGGCCAACCACGTGGGGCTCATGTGGCCCGGGCAGCTGGCTGTGGCGAGCACTGCGCCTGCACCGGGAAGCCTGAGTCTGTCCCTCCCTGCTGGGCTGGAGGTACAAATCCTTCCTTGGTGCAAGCCAGCAAGCCCACGCAGGTGCAGGTTGTGATTTTCCTACTGCATAAAAAATGTGATGTGTGGGTGGCCTGAGAGCGAGAGCAGCCCCTGTGTGGCAGGTAGGGCATCCCTTGGGTCCTCAGAGGTGACGGGCAGAAGAGCTGGAGGGAGGTGTGGCGAGGCAGCAGGTGAAATGTGGGAAATAAGAGCAATATCCTTGCGAGAACATTGTGCAACTGGCTGCCCTTCTGCTGAAAGACGTATTTAATTCACTCAGAGAAAAGATGTCTGTAAGAGGAAATGGTGTTCACAGAAGAGATGCTGTTTTGTCCCTGGAATTATGCAAAGTGAACAAAAATACGTGGCAGCAAGGTCACTCCCTGTGATTTGCCATTTTCTTTGCCTAGAGACTAGAAAAGGTAATTCTATTTCACGTGGAGACAAATGATTTGAAATCTGCTTCAGAGCTCAAAACCAGGCAAATAAAAAGTACCAGCGACACTGGAAAAGTCTCTCTTGGAAATCAAGCGCAGCATACGCTGCAGCTGAAAGTTTAGCACTGCAGTTAATGAGGTGTGACCGGTTGCTTTTGCTTTAAAGTCACACCATGCTTTAAACATTTGAAAAATCCATTTTAGCTCTAAGCATAATGAAAAATAAGCTATTTTCCCCACACCCTTTCCCATTTGTACTATTTTAAGCAACAGGCTTGTCCTTGTCAATATATCATATGTGGCAGACGATGGGTTTCAAGGGCGATGGCTAGAGGAGGAAAATGAAGCAAGGTCACTGAAGCGGTTCGGAGAGGCTGTGGTGGTCCAGCAGCTCTGCCAGTGGCACAGTCCATCACGCTGCAGTCTGCGGTGTGGACATCTCTAGCGATACCTCGCTGCTCTGTGCAACAGCAATTGAAATGGAGCAGCTGCAGGCACCAGGGGCTATAAACTACCATGGGAAAGAAAAGTCAAGCGGCCAAACTATTAAGAGAAGAGCTCTCCCCCCCATCCTCTGTGACAGGATTAAGGACAGCCAGCAGATCACGGGAAGGGATGGAGAAGCACACGCATAAGGGGTCATTACCTGCAAGGGAGGCAGAGATCTTGTTTTGCTCTTGACTGAAATACTAAATAAACAAGAAAGTGACAGAGAGGCTATCCATACAAAGTGCTTTGCCACTGAGGAGCTAACATTTTCATTGTTGTATTGTGGTGAAAACGTCTGGTGACCTTTCCAGTATTAAATACTATATTCAAGTATTAGGTATTAGGTATTAAAATTCTCTCCCAGTTTCTAGGAAAGGATGAAACAATCAGGTGCCTGAGTGATAAGCGTGGCATAAAAATCCAGATAAATCACTGCTGTCACACTCAAATAATTTTATTCATTTGAAATTGGGTTTCCTGGAATACAGTCTTATGAGATACTCATCTCCTCTTTGAGACAGGAGAGGAGATGCTGCAGAGTGGATTAAGCAAGAGATAGCGCTCTAATCCCAGTTTTCCTCTCTCACTTGGCATCCCTGGGAAGGACAGCATCCCTGTCCTTCTGATTTCTCATTTGTAAAATGGAGATGATAACTGCTCATCTCTCAGGGCCATTATGAAGATTAATGTGTTTACAAAAGCATTTAAAATGCTAAGTACTTTTGGTTCCAGTCCTGTGAGATTGGAAATGCCAGCACTGAGGTGCTGAAAACCTTAAGCTCTTGCTAGCTGTAGTGGAAACTGTGGCTGCCCAGCACTTTACAGGAACGGGGAGAAACATGTCATTGCAAAAGTCATGAAATCCCACCCTGCTTTATTGCATAAAATGAGACGTGCGCCATGCCGGCATTGTATCTGAAAGGGCAGATAACACATACAAAAAATCATCATTTAATTTCATGCCTAGAAAATTATTGAAGGCTTTGCATTTGGAAACATGTTGGTGTAATTTATCTAGGAACTGATTCCTGCACCTTTAGCTACAACAGGATTTTTGGCATCAGTATAGAATACAGCATCAGCCCATAATCTACTGTACTTCTGTTAAGCTTTAAACTCTGTGACAGGCAACATAGACTCCTAATTAGCCTCAAAAAAAAGCTTGTTTCACTATTACCAATATAGCCAATTTTAGCCACTTTTCTTGCAAATTGCTTGATAAATGAAACCAAAACCCAAATCAAGGTTCAAAACCCCCAGTCTTAGCATTTGTGAAGAACAACCCGCACTGACTCTTTACCATACGCTCCTTCAGCCAGCCCGTAGGATCAGATGGAGGAGCAGCTAATTGCACCTGTATCCAGTAAAGTCCCTGTGTTACTACTACCTCTTCTAGTCCGTGCAGAAGTGAAAGTCAGCAGCTTCTGCAGGCTTCAAACTTTCTTTCACCAGTTCTGTTTTTCACAGTGAAACAAATTTAACAAATTTGAGAAAGGCACAGAAACAGGGAGATGAGTGAGCTGGGGGAACCAGGGATAATGGTTTCCCCAAAGGGAGTACTAGTTCATTGGCTAAGGGGAGGGATGAAAGGGGTTGTGGCCGTATGCACCAAGGCTGAGAAGCAAGGCAGGATGGTGTGGTTTACTCAGAAGCAGAAGAATTTACATGAGAGTGAGACCGGATGCCAACCTGCAGGAAAAAAAAGTCTGTTTGTGCAAGACAGCTGCGTGCAGACAGACCACGCATGCTGACGTGTCCCAGTAAAAGCCAGCTGAAGAACATGGTCAGGGCTGGTAAGATTTTGTGATGGATTCGTGATCTAATTTTACATCTGATGCCCAAGACTTCAAATCTGTGTGTACAGGGCATCTGCTGATTTTTTTTTAAATGTCAAATGAAAAGTAAATATTAAAGCTGTAGGCTTTGACTCACTGATAATACCAATAAAACCCATAAAACGTTAAATTGTCCTCATATATTTGGCAGGCTCTGAAATTGATGGTTCAGGAGATGGATTACTGATATTATCCACCGTTACAGCAACGCCGCCTCCTGCTACGCGTTCTTCGACCGCAGATGATCACGAGCCAGTACTTGTCACTACAAGCGCTACTGAAAGCAGCTTTGAAACAAAAAGTACTGAACTGAATTCCACGAACAATCAGGACAGCCTAGAAGCAGCAGAACAGTCTATCTTGATATATATTGTCCCTGCCGTGCTGCTGGTCCTGCTGATTTTGCTGATCACATTTTTTGTAATACATCATAAAAGGAAAAAGTCTAAGCAAGGTAAATTTGTCTTCTCGTGCATCAGAAGTATATTTTTAGGGCAGAGTCGACATTAACAAAACATTATTTGGAGGCCTGGGATGCCACATACAGGATGTACTTCTCTGGTTGTAGTTGCCCATTTGACAGATAGGAAAGGGATCTGGCCCTGGCCAGTGGAATCTGGGCACACACCTCTCCTCGGGTGGGAGCTAGTTCTGCTTCTCAGCACCTCCTGCTCACACTGCACACCCACGGGAGCCACGGCACCGAGCTCCGGCTCCAGGCAATGCCGGGAACGGTGTACGGGTGTAACCGTGCAGCTGCAAACACTTATTCTGTCTTTAAGCTCAATAACTTAATGCAAGATGAATTTAATGCTTCTATTGCCTGTACTGCCCACAAGGTAAAGCTACTAGGAGCTTTGATAAAATAAGAACAAGCAAAACCGTTTTAAGGAACACTTTTAAGGGATCCTGTAGGGTGGTGCCAGCTCTGAAGATATCACAGTAAATGAGCTAGAAATCCCATAGTCAGACTGCCTGGGTGCTGTGATAGGCAGAGCAGTACTTCAGGAAGGTACCTTGATCTGTTAGCAAAGAAATCAGTAACTTGGAGTGTCAAGCCACAGAAAACAAACTGAGGTGTCATATTAAAACCACAAGGTTGGTAAGTGAAGTCCTGAAATGGTCATATCAGTGTCCCTACAGAACAAGAATGCAGCTGTAAGCTCCTCAGCCTGCAGACAGTGACATATGTTCAACATAGATTTTAAGTCCATTTTTCAGGGCAGTTTTAGGCTGCACCTGGCCTTATCACTGGGTCATCCTCGTAGCAAACTCTGAATTCACAACCAGGCACCTAGTTAACCTGCCTGTTTCTGGGTGACCTGAAATGCAGGTACACTCTTCCAAGGGACGGGAAACGTGGTGCCTTGCAGGAGCACAATCCTGGGATCTCTTGCCCCGTACCTATTGCGTGGGGCTGGGATTTTGGGCATCCTCAAGGCGGGGGCGGGCAGCTCTGTGGCCCTGGGGTGACTCTGCAGTCAGGGAATGTACTGGAACAAGCAAGACATGTCAGCACCCATTGGCAACAATGAATTAAAAATAAGCTAATTTAAGACAGTATACAATGTGAATCCTATAGGTAGTTCATTCTTTTTTGAGGGCTGAGGCTTTTCAGTCACTTGATTCCTGGAGGGGAAGTTATTTTTCTGAACAATGGCTGTTACACTATATTTTTTCCCCATCTTTACTTTGTCTTGGGGTCATAACTAGCCTTGGATCCCTTTTGACATCTGGCTAGTTCAGCTTCATTTGCCTAACTGAGATTTAATCTGCCATGCGAGTCCCTCCCCCACTTCTCTCCATGAGTGGCTCCCAGGGTCTCCAGGCAGAGCCAAATTGCCTGCATGTAGTCTGCAGCAAAATGTCCCAACGCTTCCAGTAAACAGTTTTTTTGCAGCAGTGGTTCCTTTTCAGGATACCATTTCTCTCACGACATCTGTTTTGCTCAGGGAAGCTTGCATCTGCCATGTCCTGCCCACCGCGGCGCTAACAGTCGGTTTCCTGCCAGCATGGCTGAGCTAATAATGAACTGCTTTTAGTGTGTTCAAGATTAAAAATAATGGGTTCCTCTGAAAACTATAAACAGGACGTTTTGTCCTTCATCTACAAGTTAACTATAAAGCCTTTTGAAAATGCAACCTGTTTTACGTGACCCTATTCAAGGTTTGCTTGTAGTCTGGACCCTGTATATACAAAGAGCAGAACTATGAACACCAACTTTTTTCTTTTCCAGATGAGCTCGGAAGTGAAAATGTGAAAAGGTAAAGTTTATGAATGTGACTTTTATTTTTTTTTTATGCTTTTACTCTAACAGGATATTATGATTTTGGGCTCTTTTACCGCCTGTTTTAATTTAACTGTGCACTAAGCACCATTACCTTTTACCATCAGTTGTTCCAGTTAACTATCTCTAGAGGTGGCTAAAGTGTGACTTCAGTATCTATCTGAAGGTGTAAGACTAGAGCAGAAGAACAGAGGTTACACTGGCCAAGGCGAGCGCTGCCCCACAGGCACCCACCACCCGCAGCCACCCACCCCTATGCCCAGTCCAGGCACCCCCGGCTCCACCAGATGCCAGAAGACATGCAAGGTGCCCCGCAAGCAGAGGGGATCTGTTCCCAGGCTCATCACTGGCTTTCAGCTATTCAGAATAAGCTCTGTGTCTTGCTCCCCTGTTTTTCAAGTTTGTCTTCTCACTCTGAGGTGAGGCAGAAAGGCTCGCCCAGCCACCGTGGAAGCAGTGCCTTAGCTGCTGGGAAAATGAGCCAAAAGCTGCATGGGTCTTATCAGAGTGATAATTTTTATCATTACCTTTTATTGAGCTCCATCTTGCTAATCAATGCTGGAAGTTATTAAATTGGCTTCACAGGGGAAAAAAGGGGGTTTTGCTCAAAATATTTTTTCTACCATGTGCCTCCAGGAACTATCAGGAAAGGGAAGCTAAATGGAGGCATTTAAATAAATGCAGAGTTACTCTACTCATGACTTTTCCTTTTGAGGTTGCTGCCAATGTCAGTCACAGCTAGAATGAAACTGTGGGCCCTCTGCTTTTATCACTGGGGCAACGGGACTTTTGCCACGTGTTCCAGAAGGGCAGAGACAAACTATTTTATTTTTCAGTTTTCTATTTAGAGTAGGGACAGTTCTCAAATAGCTGCAGTGGCCCTGTGCTCTGGCATAGCCCCGACTGCACCGTCTGGGTCCCTCTGCACGCCGTGTCCCAGCCAGCCCTACCTCTGCCCAGGACGGGCATCTCGCCGCCGCTCCTTCGCATCTGTTTGTGGCCGTTTCATTCACACCCATGGGGCTGACATCTTCTCAGATTGCTAGGCTAGGGTGGCTTTCCAGAATTTATACACGCGTCTGGAATTACGAAAGACTCATACGAAATTACTACGTTGTAAGTTGTTTGAATTGAGTGTTTTGTGTAATGCCTTTTTTTCCCCTCCTCTCTCCTCTCAAGTCCTATTTTTGAAGAAGACACACCCTCTGTTATGGAGATAGAAATGGAAGAGCTTGATAAATGGATGAACAGCATGAACAAAAATGGTACACGGTAACCCCTCTACTCCATCATCCCTCTCTTTCTAGCTGACGTAGATCCCATGCGTAGAAAATCAATGTAAGGCATTTTGCATGTGTCTCACTGTGTTTCCTACAACATTTTTAGTTGTGTTCTTGACTCCCTGCTACTAAAATAGCAGCACAAATGTCAGGGGTAGAATTGTTCATAGGAGTATTTTAGTTTGTGTGGGAGCTTATTTTTAACATATGATAGAATATCATAAATGTTTTGAGTTTCTAGTAGATACTTCTATTAAACACATGTGTAGCTGTGAACGGTATTTATATTTCTAAATACACATTTTTAATGCTAAGTACTAGTTTCTCTGAAGCACCTAGTCCTTTCAGTCCTCAGAGTTTCCACAGTTCTGTGCTCCGCATTGTGCTGTTGTAGGAGAAACACACATTTACTCATAGTTTAGACCACCGTTTACTTAAAATTGCTGCCAGGATCCTATGAATACATCCCTCCCCTCTTTGTGTGTCCTTTACCTCATTTGCCATCTTTACTGCATGGAACATAAGCTGCTCTTTGCTGCCAGCACCATTCGCCATCTACATCCTCTCTGGGAAGTCTGTCAGCCCATAGAGCAATTAATACCTGTGGTAACTACCACCAGCAGCATCTTCAGCTCCTTCTTAGGTACTTCTAAGTATCTTGTATTTTTTCCCCCATTTTTCTCCCAGCTGAAATCTCCTGGTTAAAGTCTCTAAGGGCCCTGCATCCTCCTTCAAGGCTTTCCTTAAAAAATGCAGATCTTTGGTAAGGTGTGAATTAACCGAGGCCTGATTTTGAACTGCTAACAGCTTTTCACTGGCTAGGAAATGCTGAAACCCTGATATTTTTTTCATTCCTGGTCCCTTGCCTTGTATCCAAATGGCTCATTTGCCTGACCTCCTAGGGATGCTATGTTTTTCAGGACATAAAAATCTTTGGAGCATTTCTTTGCATTAGCAGAGTGCTCCACATGATGGGGTTTTGACCTTCGCGGTCCGTAAGCTCTAGCAGAAAACATGTGCTAAGCAGCAGTAGTGAAATAGAGACATTAAATATAGTACATGGGGAAATAGTGCTGTAAAACATTTTTTTAAAATTCTGTGGACAGAAGGGAGCAAATAGTTTACATACAGGTCTTTTTTTGTTAGTGTTCCCTAAACCCCAGCTCCAAATTCCCAGCTGGACTATAAAGCATAGGTGCAACTATAAGCAGTGGAAGACTAACAAATGGTCCTCCCCATGGTAGTTTATAGGAAACAGTCCTCAGAAGTAGTTCATTTGTATAGGTATAAATAAACAACTGAAATATATATATAATAAAGAAATTATGGCAACACCTATCAAAGGGAAAGAGGATTTAAAATATGTAACATTTGTGCTATGGGGACCATGCAGATTATACAGATAAAAGGGTGCAGAAGAGCATCTGCAGTTTTATATTCTAGAGAAACTCGTGATAAAAATCGATGCAATTTTGAAATAAATGTAGAAGAACTGCCAGGAGTAACTATAGTCTTGTTTCTTACCCTTTTTCAGCTGACTGTGAATGTTTGCCTACTGTAAGAGAAGAAGAAAAAGAATCAATTGCCAGCCCAAGGTACTTTTAATTCATTGTATTATTTGAAGAAATGTGGTCAATATCATTCCAAAATAATCAAGTTTTTTTTATATGTAATCACAGAGTGATTCTTTGGTCTGTTTAAGTTTTGAAGTTTTTACATATAAGGACTTTGATTTCAACTTAAAAAAAAGGTTTGATGCTCTTAGTTCTAAACTGGTCTCTGCCTGTAAATTGCACTGCTAAATAATCCTACAGTTGTAAACCTGTGCGAGACAGACAACCAGCTGGCACAGATGGAGTTTCACTCACTGATCAGACTTTAATCACAGTTTCCCAAGGTGTTAATACAAGCATTCAGCACAACCTTCTCGGCACTCCTCACTGGTGCAGACACCCAGCTCCCCTCTGCTGCCAGGTGCCTATAGGTCCCTAAGAACCACTGCCAGATGTTTTGGCTGGAGCTGTGACCTGCCAGATGGGGGCTTGTCTGACCCCAAAAGAAACTCAAAGGATCTTCCCAGTGCCCCCATGCAGCGCTCCCCCAGTGCTGGCGCTAGCTCGTGGTCCAAGCAGAGATCCCAGAGGGATGCAAAACCACAATCCTGACAGCTTGTAAACTTAAGAACTTTCTGGCTGGTTTCCTCAGAATTTTGGCTAGAACCCCTAAACCCCTCTCAAACTCCCATTTTCCCTAATTAGAAATTCTGGTTCCAGCTGGAGGCAAGGGGCTGTACGTGACACTTGCCTGCACACTTGTGGTGCAGCTGCATTTTGGCGAGTAGGCAAAGCAGCTCCTCTGTGCCAGGTTATGATAACAAACAATTAAACCATCCTGCGTGCCAAGAAAATCCCTGGTGCTGCGGAAGCAGCAGACACAAGCAGGCAAGAGTGGGAGCAGGGAGGGACGGCAGGAGAAGGACCTAGGTCTTCCCTTTCCCATGGCACCAGCTAACTCAGCTCAACATGCCTCTCTGACAGAGCTGCACCTCCCACTGTAGACCACCATAATATCCCACTCCCCCTCTTTTTTGAGTTTCCTTGCTCAGAAGTGAAATAGCGGTGATGATACTAAGTCATCACTGCTGGAGAGTTTGCAACTCAGTTGCTCCAAAGCTGCAGTTTCAGGATAGCTCTTGGATGGGGCTGCTCCACTGCAGCTATTTGTATTTAAAAGGTTTCTGCTTGTGCCTATTGCAAGAGAAATCATTCTTGTTATGTTATGGGGTTTTGGAGGGTTTTTTTGTGGTTTTTTTTGTTGGTTTTTTTTTTTTTAAAGACTTAAATCCTAGGTTCCAGGTGCAAGCAAGAGCAATAGTTTTACCCTGAATAGCTGGAAAAGATGCTGGGTTTGCTAGCCATCTGGGTCTTCCCTTCCAGCCTCTAAATGATAACGGAGAGTGGGAAAATTGCTAAGGAGAGGCAGCTACACAGTGGTTCTCTAAAAACAGATTTGCTGAGCATACCACTGACTATAGTAGGGAATATAGCACAAAGCATGCTTGAGCCATATGCTAACACCAGCACAAGTTAGACTATAAACGTCTTTTTAGGTACGACACCCTGAGCATTAAGTTTACTTTCCAAAACTTAAACAGTTCATTTTCAGAAAAAAAATTATCATGACCTACCAGCTTGAGCTGGCGTTTTAAATACCATCCTTACTACAGTGCTTTTTTACTGGATTTGCATTAACCCCATCAGAAGGTGGGGTATTTGCTCCTGACTGGCAAAGAGTACCTTTGGGCTACAACCTACCTCAAGTTCTCCACCTGTAAAACAGAGATATTGTCACTTCAAAGGACTATAGTGACCTTAAGCCTTGATGCAAAAAAGCAGCCCTGTTCAGATAAGTATGCTTCAGTCAGAGTGAAGGTACACGTTATTTAAGCATATTTCCTTATGACTGCTATCTTAGGATCAGACTGTAGAGAAACTTATGCCTCTAAATTGCAGGAAGGCAAACAAATGCAAATGAAAAGAGGAGATTTATCTCTAAAAACATTCAGAGCTGCTTAGGCAAAGGATATTAGTTGAATACAAAGTGCAAGATTATTAGGTTCAATTTCAGATTCTGAAAGACTGCTTTGTTTGGGCAAATTTCTTCTCAAATTATGGTAATTCTTCTTTTAGATTTTATTGATGATATTTCAATATGGGAAACATCTCAAGGCCTCACTGAACACAGCTGGCTGAGTGTTGTTTTCCTGCTTCATAAAGATGCTGGGGGGAGTTCATCAAGACCCAAATGTTTTGAACTACAAATTGCGTTTGATAACATATCATTTTGAAAACATCTGAGACTAAATGTTTCAGGAACGACATTTTGACATTTTCAGAATGAAAGTTGTTCCAAAACTACTTTTTAGAGTAAGTTACTTTTTAATATAAAATTTTTAAAAGGTTTAAAGAACAAACCCCTGTGGTGGTAAAATATTTCTAAGTTAAGCGTTTCCCTTAACTCAAAACTACTTTTTCAAATTTCATTTTACATGAAATTTTGAAACCTGCTTCATTTGAAAGTGAAAAGGTATCTGAAGTGGTGGGATTTCCTTGTAAACAAAAAAACCTCGTTCCGTTTATTTCTGCAGTTGAACCTTATCAGACCAAGATCTGCTGCTTTTCCTGACCAACCTCTTAGCTGAATAAATGATGTAATGAATAAATGAAAGACAACTATGTACAGATAAATAGATGTTTTCAGCAGCTCTTTTGACGAAGAAAAGTGAAAGGCTATGAAGTAAAAGGAAACAAAGCTATTATTATGGCAAAAATTGGTACTCATGAGCATCAAGGCTGCAGATTTGTGCACCAGAGGCAAGACATGACAGCTCAGGCACCTTTGTAGGTGGAGGTCATCTGCCTGGTGCATAAGCTAAGTTAAAAATATGTGTGTGTATATACATTTAAAAAAATATATATTTAAAATAATATATCTTGCCTTTGAAACCTAGCATTTAAACCCTGATCGTGCCTGAGCAGAGAACCACGAAACCTCCCCAGCCTCGCTGAGGCCGGGGTTCCTGTCCCATGCACACAGGAGGGAGCGGGTGGGCAGGTGAAGGCTGATGCTCCTGTGGTGCACAAGTGGATGCAAGGCCGATCTCTTCTCTGGGGACCTTTACTCCCTCGGCAAAACAGAAGCGCAGCCTGTCCCCTTCACAGTATGGGTCTTTGTAGGCAGCCGAGTTTAGTAACACCTCCAGAGGGGGTTTGGTTTTTCTTGGGCACTGCTGGGCACTGTCCTAGTCTTTCTGTCTGAAAAAGGGTGACTATTCCTTACGGAGAGGTGTTCTGGGTGGGGAATAAGTCGGTACAGAAAGAAATACTCCTTTCCCAGACCGTGCCTCAGTTTGACAAGGTACTTAAAAAACCACATGAAATATTAAGATTACGAGTGGCCCTTTTAACTTCAGGGTTGGTTTAAACCCCTGCTGTTAATGCTGGCTGAAATCTAACCAGCCGATAAAAAATGTCACATTTTTAATCTTGGCATGAACCAAACATTTTTAAGAAAGTGCTAGGGAGCAAGCTAGCTAGGCAGAAACCAGTGGGACAAAGAGAAAATTCACCTGTTACAAGGCCAGGTGTAATACAAACATTCCATCTGTAAAAAGTTATCCTCACCTGTGGAAAGAGGGCAATTTGATTGCTCAGCCCTCACCTGGGAGCAGGACAAAAGGTGCACTGGATAGCCACTAACCAGCAGAGAAATCAGAGCAGCCCTTGCTGCCAGCACCTAGCACCAGATAGGGTCAGTTCATGCATTGCATGGCTGACATTTGTTTTCTGATAACACCTTCTCATGGACTCCGGTGATACTCTTGTGTATTACTTCCTGCTGAGACAACTAACCCAACAGCATGACACTGGTATGTTTTTTTCTCTTCCATGTATACGCAGTGATGGTGAATCATGAAGTCAGAACAGCAAAGAACTGGTTGAAGGGAAGCAGCACACAAGCTAATGATCCTCCAGATATTGGATGAACTGGATTTAAATATAATTAATCTCAAAAGGCCAGAGAAGCAAATGCTTTTGTTGTGTCCAGCTACATACAGTCTTCAGAAAGGAAACATCACAAGGGGAAGAAAAAAAGAAAAGAAAAAAAAAAAAGGAAAAGCACTATAGTAAGATTAGGGCTTGATTTAAATTTGTTCTGCAATGAGATTCATCACAAATCAACAGAAACTTTTTTTTTTTCCTCTAAAAGTTCTCAAGATAGTCCATGTTTCTGTCTAGTTCTTCAGCTGTGTATCATGCAGAACCACTTCTGTTCCAAGTTTGGTGGGTTTCTTTGTATTTTTTGTGGTTTTCTTTTTAAATATAAACAGCATCCATAATTCTGGACTACCCTGGTTTGGTGGACGTGCAGCTCGTGCCTACGCCATGTTTGCTTTTCAATTTGCTTTTTGGTAACAGTGCACTGATTTGCACAGGACTTCTGCTGGGGAGGTACCAGACTAGGACCGACAGACCAGCTCTGAGGACAGACAGAGCGGCTGAAAAGGCTCCCAAAGGATTTGACAGAAGCGACTGCAGCCCCACGAGGGAATGGTCTTTGTAGCATGCTTTCTGGTTTTCAAATTAAAGGCATTGTAGAAGTGAAAAATATTATTTTGAGATTGCCTGTGAGTTTGTTATGTCCACAGATTAGTACTCTGGGCTAGCTCTCACCTTTTAACCCTCCTCCCTGCCCAGTACTGTTCTCTAATGACCACCTACTTCAGGAATATTCAACATGAAAACATTTCTTTCTTAAAAATAAGAGAGCTTGAAAAATTGAACAATTCAGCACCCAGACCAACCACAAGTTTAGATAGGTATGTGTTATGCATAACTACTTGGTCAAGGTTTTCAGATGCAGTAAGATTGCTGCTGCTTCCGTTTTTGAATATTGAGCTGGGAATACCTGAAAGACACTGACTTCTAAATGTGCCTGCTCACCTTTAATTACACTGAAAAAAAAAAAATCAGAGATTTTTATCCTGAGATACCTCAAGGTGGGAATATAAATATTGTAATCACATCTGTTGATTTGAGGTGGCATATCTCTTATGGTTGTAGTTTAAATATGTAACACAGACATGAAAGTGGCTCCTCGTCTGTGCAAAGCTTCCCCTGCCTTATTTAAAATATTAAATTCACATCCTACCATATCTTATATCCTACCCTATCATATCCTACCTATCTTCATCTTTACTCAAATACATAATTTCTTTGCACTTAATACATGTTTAATATGATGTTTTGTTTTGCCTGCAAATACATCACTAATATGTTATCATGCATAACTTGGTTAAAGAGAGCAAACAAACACCCCAAGCCTCTGAGATGATGGCTAAGAGTCACTAACAGCTGACAAATACAGGCCAGGAGAGTTCAGCTTTGAGTAATTGAAGATGTGTCAAAATATAACAGGAAAAAAATGTTTACAGCTAACTGTATTCATTCATTTCTGAATATGATTTGACTAGTAATTTCCCTGAAGAGTAAAAGATTTCTTCATTGTTCCAAAACAATTTATTGGAAATGTTGGATTTAATATGAGTGATAGTAAATTAAATTTCCCTGCTTGGATGATTTTTAACTTTGGAGAAACGTGTTTTAAGTTCATCTTTCAAAAAAAAAAATTTTTTTTAAACATTTCCACAAGTTCCTGACAGTAAACTCATTCTCTAGAATATTGATTTAAAATAATGCAATCACAAGGGGAAAAGAATAAAAGACTGAAATTTAGAAAATTAAAAAAAAAAGGAAGTGGGTATTTGCTGGTAGCAGCTTTGTTAGCAACTTCTCTCCAACAGACAAAGATGTTGTGCTCAGACTTCCTACAAAGTCTGCAAAGCAGTAACCCAAAACAGAGAATGTTTTCTTTTAAGGGTACAAGACCAAAAGATGTATTTTGGGACCATTACCACCTGCATGGTTGGAGGGCAGTCAGTGGTGACCCAGCAGTTTGCAACGCCGGTGTCCAGCAGTGACTCTTACCCCACCTTGCTCCAGCCCATGCAGCTCCGCATCCAGCGGCCACCGCCTTCGCCCCAAAGAGAGCTGAAGCATAGCTGGGACATGAAGAATGGGAGTCCTTGCCTTTTTTTATTTTACTTTACACTTGTCATCGGTTCCTGGTCATTTCCTTTTACACACAGTTTATCTCAATATTTTAATCTTGTAGGTGGATTGAATTACAGGGGATTTAGGTCACTTTACTCCTACATTAGTACAGCTAAAACGTGGTAATATTCCAGTTTATGAGTATTACTTTTACACCTTCTGTTGATGCATCTTAATTTTCCCTAAATGATGCACGCAGTCAGGTCCTCTAACCCACAAAACAAAAAGAACAACCAGACAGCAGATAAGATACTAGCAGATTTTAAAAATTATTTTAATATTGCCATGCACTACGCAGTATTTATGCCTCTGCTGTAATAGCCTCATCATCAGCCTTATCTGAGCTGACCCATCTCACCATCATCTTGCAATATCTACCACCAACTGATAACTCAAGTTATTATCCCTCAGTAGAAATTGAGAAAAAGCATGCAAACAGAAAGCCACTTGCACTATGTATCATTCTAAAATGTTTAGCAAATGTGATGATCCCTAAGGAACTGTTACCCCCTCTTCCATTTTCTTCAACTATTTCACTAGTTATCCAGCACTTCTCAAGACAATTCATCATCTAATTTACAACGTGCGAAGTGTGAGCACCTTTTGTCCTACAGAAGGCAGAAAAGCTATGGATCCAAAGGAGGAATTGTTTGAGAAATATGTGGATAAAAAGAAGAGTAATTAAGAACCAACATGTCTCCTACATTGCTAAAGATCAGTATCTCAGAGAATTTTTCAACAAAATAGAAATAACTTCTCCGTAAAGTTACAAACATAAGGTTACTGGCGTTGCCAGCAGTTAATTAATACCATAACAGTCCTGCACTTGTAAAGCACATAACCCTAACATTAACCTCAGCAAAAAACCCCGTTGGTTTTAGTTTCTAGGTTGTCATAAATCATGGATCCATAGATAACTATTAATCTGAGATTAAAAAAGTAAATTGTTTTGCAGTGCTAAACCTGATCAAGGCCTATAAAAACAATTTTTGTTTACTTTCTGTATATGAAATTACTGTCTGTGCAGCTGTTTTATCAAATAGCTGTTTCAAATGATTTTGTAATGTAAAGATTTCAACATCATAATAACGCTTAATTGTATTTTTTAAAATTGTATTTTTAAAATTGAGATTTTAAAGAACTTTTTCTAATAAAGGTTTATAGCAGTTTTTACTGTCTATAGGTTCTCTTTTTCCCATAGTTGTGCTAATCCATTCAAGTCAATGGGTGCTAATTATTTGTTATGTCAAGATCACTCAGGCCTTACAAGATACACAAAGATATATGCAGAAATAGATATGTTACTCATCAGCTCTCTAAAATTCAGGCAAAAAAAGCCTAGAGGCTAGTGCACTAGCCTCTTGAAATTACAGAAGTGCTTTGAAATTAATTTTACCTAAGAAAAAAAAGCTGCTTTATATTTCATTATATTGTTGTTGGGATATTCCAGATTGTCTTTATGAGTAGTCAAATTCTGCCTGCAGTGAAATTGGTGAATACCCCCATGATTTCTCCTTGGGTGACTGTAGCCATCTTTCTTTAATGATCAATCACTTCTGAAGTTATTCCAGTTAAGCACCAAAATGATAAAGCTGCTAAAATAATTTTCAGTGGATTTAAGGGAAAAGAAAAAAAAAACCCAAAACAAAAAGATGAAAAAAAGAGAGATGTATTTCTAGATGGAGATTTAGAGAAGATTAATAAAGCAGCGCATTGCTTTCATCCATTTTTGCAACAGTTGCATTACAGGGGAGCAGAATGCCCTGGGGGTATCCAGAAAGCCCAAGTCAGTCTTGATGATATTTAATGCTTTTAATGTTCAAACCACCTCAATATGAGAGCATCATAGCAATGACCAGGCAGAAACTAGTTCTCTCCTGCCCTCTCTCACCTAAATGTTGCATCAGCAAGAAATTTGTCTTTGGTACAGGTACAGACCCTTAAAATCTGTATTTTGAGGCAACACTTGTCTGGTTCTCTAGGGAGGTGCAAAAGAAGACTTGACCAGAGAGCCCCAGGAAGTATTTTGACACCCTGGGGAGTAACACAGAGTTACTCCCCCATCCCCAGGCACTTGCTTATGTCCCGCTCTGCCCCCATTAGTGCCATTGTGCCACCCTATGGACCAGGGGCCCCTCCAATGTGCACTAAAAGGAGGCTGGAAGGGGTCACAGGGGAACTGGTTTGTCAAGGGGAAACAAGATGAGGGATGAGCAAAGGACAAATCCTGCACTAATATTATTATCAATATACATAGAAATGCATCCTGAGCACTAACTCTCTGCTTCAGTATTAAGAAGGGCTTAATCCATGCTTTCTGTGAATATTAGTGAAAAGAAAATAGTAGAGGCATGGCCCAACATGACAGCAAAGGGCAGCACCAGCTGCTCTCCCACAGGCTGCCATGCCCTTCCAGCCTGTGGTTGCTTCAGGTCTGGTTTTGCACTGGATCAGTTCCCTGGCCTGATTTTGGGTGGGATCCCACATGCTGAGGGCTGGGAGTGCTTCCCTGCTACTACACAACACCCCAAGCAGCCATTGCAGAGGGGCACACAGGGGGTGACAGGCAGCAGCATCACCCCCCTCCACAATGCAGGACACAGCCCAGGGGCAGCTGGTTTGTGCAATAACGTAAACAATCATGAACACAGAGTAGTTTACATGTATGTTAGTGCTATTGCTATCATCTCCTCTATGGGAAGTCATCTTTTTCTGCTAACGAAGGCTAAAAGCATACCTGAAGCATAACACTAAAAGAAGAATGGTTATAAACACAGCATGGCTCTGGAAGCAAACTGCACCTCATCTCCACACCCAGGGCCCCAAGCAGCAGCAACACACTGGTAAAGAGCCACAATCACACCAACACACTCAAAATTGAGGATTATTTTAGTAGTGCTTTATTACAGCCCAGTTTGCATTCTCCTACAGGTTTTTATTTGTATATTAAATTGTCTTCTTTTATTACCAGATTTTCAATGGTTATTTTTATACCAGCAATGCATTAACTGTAGTTTGAGAATTGTCAGATTGGTTCTGGCAACTGGAAGAAAAAAAACCACTAATTTGGGCACCTGAATGACACAGAAAGCCATTTGATATATACTAAGATTTTGGCACAGAGATGAGTTCTCTTCCCTTGCCCCATTTTTTAAAAGAGATTAGGTGTGCTATAACCTTCAAAGAGAAGGGGAACAAAAAAATACATCTAGCTCTCATATCCAGCTAATTTTGATTGCAATATATATATCAATAGAAGGATTGGGACATCTTTTGACTAGCTGCCCTTTCATGAGAACAAAGACTTTCCTCAAAACCAAACATTTCTAAATATAGATGTTGTGGTGGTTTTCAACTTCTGCAAAATTTTTAAGATTACTGAAAAGGGACTTCTCAACACATTTTGGAAGTTTTGAAACAAAAGTATTTTTCCATATAGAATGCCAAAATTAAGTCCAGAAGTGGAGTGAAAGTCATTAGTTCAATTAACCACCCCACACCCTCAGTCAACTCAAATTTTATTTATTCTTACTTCAATTCACAGGAGAGGCTAATGTTTGAGACTTATGCTTTTTAAAACAGAAGAAAACCTACTATGAAAATACTCACCCAGATATTGCTGCTAAAAATAACAGCATAGAAAACTAAACCCAAGTCTGAGCTTGAATTTACATATTTAATTTTGGGAAGCAATACCCAATAAAGATGCATACACTACTGTCAGCACCAGGAAGGCAGCAGTATCTCAATTTTTATTTTCTTCACAAGCTGAAGAGATCTATACACTTATATAATGTGCACACACATGGAGTAGTAGTTGAAGATAGATTATAATCTCTGATGTTTACCAGATTTGACAGGTTTCATTACAACAAGAAAATCCCAAGTATATTCATCAGACTTCTGTTCTATATTACAGCCTGAAATAAGGAGCAAATGGCATATGCTCTGCTGCTGTCATTGGAATTTGTATGACAAAGCATGAAAACTAGCAGGTTTCTCCAATAGAAGCAGCAGTTTTGTTAACTCCTTATTCATGTAATTCTAGTAGATTCCCCCCCCCCCCCCCCCCCCTTTTTTTTTTTTTTAAACAAACCAGTAGTTTAGTTTCATTGGCTTTCTACTCTCAGGGATGCTAGTTGGGCTTTTTGTTGAAACATTTTGTTTCTTTTATAACAGGTCCAACTAATACCTGAAAAAAAAAATCTCCACAGTCTCTCTAACTCTGTAGCAAATCCATTCAGGCTGTAGATGTAATTGTAGCAATCATTTATCTGCCTCAGACCTCCAAGGTTACCATTTGCCACAGATTAGCTGTAACTTTTATTATTCAGTTTACTGTAGTCAGATTGTAGCTATCAAAAATAAGCATACTGGATTAAAGTACCCGCATGCTTGTCCTGCTTTACATTTTTCTTGCAGAATAGAGTAAGCAGCACTCACTGCAGGGAAAAAGTCCAGTAAACTATTAGAAATGAGTGAACTATGCACAAGGTGGAGCAATATTATCAAAAAGCCCTTGTCCAGATCTCCTTAAAATATATATTTATATATTTGGTTCATTTTAATGCCATGCCCAAAGTGCCTTCTTTTCAGCAAGTGGCTGGAGGCTTGCTGCATAGCCCCCCAGCTGTCAGAAAAAGGAGCGTTTTTTGTTCTAGTCATGCTGCTGGGGACTCTCCCAGCCATACCTTGGCTTAGGGCACCTGCTTTGGTCTGACTTAGATGCCTCCAGATCTGGTTCAGAATGATACTCTGACTGCCACCCCCAGGAGGGAATCCCGACCTGCAACTGCAGATGTGCTTTTTACTGCAGTGCATGTTCTACATGAAACCATAATTCATACTAGGGAAAGAAGGAGCCCAGGGTTTGGAGGCAGTTTGCCCTGGCAGCAGTACCTGCAGCACGGGGACAGGAGAGGGGGGGAAGTGTTCTTTCCCCAGGACACACTGGCTTGCCAGTTTTGTTCCCCAGGGTTTGGCCCGGGTTAGTTACAAGCCGATTGCTCTCTCCCCAGCAAAGGGGTGCCAACACTTCCTGGGGAGCACCACTGACCTTAGTTATCTGCCCATCACCCTGAGGGCTTGCTGCAGCTGTGGGGCTGTGAGACAGCTCACTGTGCTGGTGGGATCAGCTGGGGATGAAGCTGTGCCAGTCAATGCCACAGCCAGAGGAACACTCTCCTCAAGAGAGGGTCACCCACAGCCCAGACTTCTTCCATGCGAACATGTGGGTTTGACTCCCACAGCACACCAGAGTGGTAAGATCTTCAGCCAGACCTTTCTGGTCTTACCCAATGCTAATCATGCAGACCAGTCCAAATGATACAAAAATATTCTTGTTAAAGAACTGAAAGTTACAGCCTGAATTTTGGCCATTTTCCTCAAACAGGACTTCTCTCAAGTAAGGACTGCAAGGTTGGCCCCAATTGTTTAAGAGCAGCATTTACTTTCCCAAGTATCAAATGATGTTAAATAAATCTCAAGAATATTTAAGAACAAAACCACAGAACATTCCCCCCCCCCGCAAATAAGTACAAGCATTTTCTTTGGGGAAAATAGATACTTCTTATCCACTAGGCTGTATGGTGTTCATATACAAAGTTAATGCAGAAGAAATCAGACACTAATTTCCAGGAGCAAGTTGATTTAAGAAGTCTAGTTTCTTTCAGCTGCTATATAGCCAGACCTGCCAAAGGGTTTAATGGTTTATTCACAAACAGCAGATGGGAAAATAGGACTCATGGATACAATAAAGTGGAAGTCTTTCTGAAGATGGTTCATCCAGTGTTTGGATGAC